ATCAGTCCATTGTCCAATTCCTCGCTATTCGACTCCTGAACGCCCAATAGCAACACCGGGTCTGTGGGAGGAACCGATCGAAGTAGCCCCAAGAAAGTGGCAATTACAGCCTGCCCAACAGTTTCAGACCAAGTGTGGATGTTGGGAATATAGATCACGCTGGGCTTATGTCTCTTCACTTCAGCAAAAAGCTGTATGATGGCGGCCTCAGGAGATCGAGTGGAATCGCTCAGAAGGGTTGGAAGGTCAAATGCCTGAACATGCAGACCTTCGAAGTGGTGCAAAAGGGCACCCGCCAGATACTGCTGGCCCATACCCAGCGGGCCGCGGAGTAACAGTCTAGGCCGGAAGACTCGCGACCTGTCGAACTCTTGCTGCATTTGTTCGCGCTGGAAGCCACCCCCAGCGGGCTCCTCAAATTGTGCCTCTTCCAACGCAGTGAGCCGCTTTCTCTGCGGTAGGATCTCAGACACCAGGCTCTCGATGTCAGCAAGCGGTGCACGCAGTAAAGGTTCAACCGACTTGGGCAATGGCGATGCGCCGGAGGAGGTTGATCGCTCCGACGAGGGAACCATCTTCTTGATTGCTAACATGAAATCCTTCGGTGTGACATCGATAGTTTTCGGGTCGATGACAAGTTTCTGATTAGACTTGTAGATTTGGGGATACCGTCTCTGCACCGCATTCAAGGCAGCTTCCGTGCAAAGAGCTCGTAAATCAGCTCCTCCATAGCCCTTGGTAATCTCTGCAAGCTCATCCTTGATATAATCTGGAAGCGGCGGTTCCCAGCCTTTTGTGTGAATATCCAGAATAGAACGTCGCCCGTCTTTGTTGGGCAGAGGGAAGTAAAATTCGCGATCGAATCGACCGGGTCGACGAAGCGCAGGGTCAATTGAGTCCGGTCGATTTGTAGCTCCGATGACAATCACTTGACCACGACCGTCCATCCCATCCATCAACGCCAACAGGGTGGAGACAATTGAGGCATGGATTTGTTCCTGTTTGCTTGACCGAACAGGTGCCAGACCTAGGTAAGAGGTCGGTTAACTCATGAAGCTACACGGTTGCATCGGGATTAAGAGCAATCTGACTTACCATCAATCTCATCGAAGAAGATAATACTGGGTTGTGTCTTGCGAGCCTCCTCAAAGAGAAGCCGAAGCTGACGTTCTGCTTCACCCACCCATTTACTCAAGGCATCGGCTCCCTTTCTCATGTAGAAAGTGACCTTGCGACCATTCGAGCTGACACTGTTAGCGAGAGCTCTTGCCAGAAGGGTTTTTCCTGTGCCGGGAGGTCCATGGAAAAGGACACCACGAGGGGGCACGATGTGGAAACGCTGAAATATCTCCGGGTACAGCAGTGGCAGAGAGACCATCTCTTTCAACTGATCGATGTGTCCTTGTAAACCTCCCACACTATCGAAGTTGACGTTCACATCTACCCCCAGTGGATCCGCATCGGCCAACGCCTGTTTATCTTTGACTTTTCCGAGATTCGCAGGGGTGCCCGAGAGGCCCTGCGCGGCGTCATTGCCATGAGTTTGACCGACAAGACCCGCTCCGGGTAGTCCAGGTGCCGAAAACGACCCACTGACCCCAGTCTTAGGATGCTGCATAACTTCATCATCACTGCTATCGCTGTCCACACCCCCCGTCGCAGCGGGTGCTCCCGGAGGACCCAAGATCGCAGATGGCCCGCCACCTCCAAAAGGCCCGTAAGTGGGAAACAGAGTACGCTGCCAACTGCCGCCACCACCCCCACGGCCCCGACGCGAAGGCGATTCATTAATTTCGTTCTCGGCTTCTTCGATGGGCAGGATAAGATCCGGGCGAATGATACGGTAGTCGACATCTTTCCGACTGCGTCGAGGTTTCTCGTAGACAATCTCAGGTTGTACTCGACGGCGAGACCGACTTCCTCGCAGGTCTTCCAATTCTTCGGCTAGCTCCTCGGCAATATCAGCTCCTGCCTCCGACTGGCCACGTGATCGAGACGCCCTTTTGCGCAAACCAGGGCGACGACCAGTAGTGCTGTAGTCATCATCATCATCATCACGAGCTTGGCTGGCTTTGCGCGGAGATGCGTTCGACTTGCCGGAGTGAGAAACCTCGTCATCGTCGTTTGAATCTTCTTCGGGTTCGAAGTCACTTTCCTCTTCCCGACGCTTGCGTTGGAAGTTGTTGGGTTTCTTGCGACTAGATCGACGTGGTTCCTCCTCTTGGACTTCCTGAGGCTGGTCGGCTTCATCTTCCGCTGGCTGGCCCCGAATTGGCCTCAATCTCCTTCTGGTGATTGGCCCTTCCTCATCGTCTTCGTCGTTCCCATCCTCCTCAACGCCAGCCTTCGCATCGCCATTCTCGGATTCAGGAACAAAACCTTCATCCTCACCTTCCCCATCGTCCTCATTCTGGGTGGGATTTGGTACAGCTCCCTCAAAACTGACTTGAACATCGCTCTCCAAGATCTCAAGCTGCGAGCCTTTGATTTCGGTGGTCGTCTCGTCAATGACCTCCTCTTCCTCCTGCTTCGTTTGGAATTCGCCTTCCTCTTCCTCGTCTAGCACAGGTATGCGTTTCGATGCCCTGGAACCCCGTCGAAGCCGGCTTTCCATCTCCGGACTCTGAGTTCCTCGCTCGACAGTCTCCATGTGACGACCGGAGTTCGTAAGGGCATAGATATCCTCCGACGGATCTCGCGTACGTCTCGTCACCCGGCGAGTGCCTTGAAAATTGTCCAGTGGCGCCTGCGCTTGTCGTTTGAGTGCGTTCCCGACCTTCAGCTTGACAACAGTACTTTTGCGCTTCTTCGGGGATGTTTGTACGTCAACTTCATCGTCTTCTGGGGTGTCATCTTCGATACTGCTGGTATCGCCTTCGTTATAGACCGGTCGGTTAGTGGCGGCTCGTCTAGCAACTAGGCCTCTGGCATTCCGTTGGGCATTTTCGTCATCCTCTTCCTCCGATTCTTCGAAGGAAACCTCGTCCTCACTGAAGATATCGTCGTCATCTGAGATGATGTCATCGTCCGAACCGCGACGGGCTCGTTTCTTTGCGGGCTTGGATTTCTTCTTCGACTTTGACCGGGAGACGGAGCGTCGAGCCGACCGTACCGGATGATCACTGTAGTCGTCATCATCCGAGTCTGACTTGTTGGCCATCTCCTCGATGGAGCGTTTGGCACGAGGCATGGTGATGTGTTCGATGGTGTTTCTTGTTGGAGGCGTTGGGGTGTCAGTGCGCCCGATGCTCCAGTAACAATGCGGAAAGGTAGTGAATTGGTCGCGTGAGAAGTAACACTCACTCGGCACAAAACGGCTGTTGGAAGCGTTTCAGTAAAGCCAATTGATCCAATGGATTGTGCAGCGGACAATAACACCAAACAAACACCTCAGATTCAATGAGAGGGGAAAGACTGCGGGCTCATGGAACAGCACCAACAAGCAATTGTCCTTGCGCTCACCAAGCAGCAAGCATTGACTATTGGCGGCTACCAAGTTGAAGGGAAATCGGTAAAGCCCCGTTTTGCGCCCGCGAGAACCGAGGCAGGTCGTATATATAACGCGCGGTGCAAAGGTGACAGCAACGCGCGAAGTGAACCGGTCCCGCAAGAGAAAAAAGAATGGAGCAAGAAGTGATGCGAGACACCAGAAAGGTCAAAACGCGTCGCATGCAGTCGCTAGGCGGAGTTGGGAGAGGTTGAGAGAACCCAGAGGTCGATGGACAGGGAAAGAAGACAGAATCAAATGAATGGAAGAAACTGAGACGAAAAGATCCCCTCCGCAAGTTGAGACCTTTCTGTGAAAAGAGGAAACAAGGCAAGTTACTCCGTACCAGGAACGATACCGATCGACAGCATGACGAGAAAGAACAGAAGGAGGGAAGGAAATCAATGAGGAGTGCCGGTTGAAGTGACCGGGG